GCCCCTCTGATACCTGAGGATAAGCTGGAACTCAGGGGGTTTATTTTCTGCCAAAGCTCCCTGCACTTTTACACAACACAGACCACAAATAGTGGCCAAAAGCTAGTCCATAGCAAGAAAAAGCAGGTCAGAAACTGCTGGACATCTAGCTCTGGGCAAGGATAGAGGTCTTTGAATCAGCTGGACACAGGTCCCCTAATTCTTGGCTCTCTGCAGTTCCTAAACAGAAGTAATTCTTGCTATACCAAATGCAGACCCACAAGGTATGTCCTGTGCTCATGCACTGGACACAGCTTTTGCTTCCTAAATTATATAATTATTTTAAAAGTCAGACCATCTTCTTTCCCCAAGCATCAAGCCTCTGTAACATTGCTTGAGTGTGAGTCATTGCATTACAAGAAACAGTGAACTTGCATTAGTGAACTGCAAAGTCATGTAGAAAACTAGATTTGCAGATTTTAAGTACACTAATAAGCATCTGCCATATACTTGGCTCTGAATTTTAAAAAACCTGAAGCCCTAGTGCATAATCTAGATTTACATTTAAAATCATTGTATGTGAAAGTGGACTTCACTGGTTTTAACACAGATTAAGCTTATTATTCAATATTTTCTTGGGTTTAAAGGGGTAAGAAGAAAAACTAAGGGAGTACAGAAGAAGCTTCAAAAGAAACCTTAGTTCTTATATCTTCAAAATCAATCATCTACAAACATTCAAAAGTAATAGCAGCATATTTCATAGCAGCAGAATTATCTAGTACAACTATTTAACTCAATGAATGCTCCCAAACTTATTCTGTTAGCAATAATGAGCATAAATAAGTAGGAATATAAAGAATTTAACCAAAGAAAAAATTCTGAACTATAACTTTACAAGAAAAACAGGCACCTCTAATTCAATTCTTCAACAATAATGACCATCTCTAAATTCAGCATTGCAAACAGGTTAACAACATACCTGTACATATATAACTATAATATATATAGATATCCTAAATAACTTTGGTTACAAGAGCCTAATACAATCTAACTGTTGCCAAAAACCAGCTCACCTCTCCCTACCCACCACCATATGCTCCCAGGTCATAGAATCACAGAATGGTTTGAGTTGGAAGAGACCTTAAAGATCATCCAGTTCCACCCCCCCTGCCATCAGCAGGGACACCTTCCACT